GGTGACTTTACCCAAAGAACCAAGAATAATAATTTAATTGTTTTATATTTTTATTATTTTATTGTTTCCCCTTCTAACGTGGTGGTGACTTTACCCAAAGAACCAAGAATAATAATTTAATTGTTTTATATTTTTATTATTTTATTGTTTCCCCTTCTAACGTGGTGGTGACTTTACCGAAAGAACCAAGAATAATAATTTTATTGTTTTATATTTTTATTATTTTATTGTTTCCCCTTCTAACGTGGTGGTGACTTTACCCAAAGAACCAAGAATAATAATTTTATTGTTTTATATTTTTATTATTTTATTGTTTCCCCTTCTAACGTGGTGGTGACTTTACCCAAAGAACCAAGAATAATAATTTTATTGTTTTATATTTTTATTATTTTATTGTTTCCCCTTCTAACGTGGTGGTGACTTTACCGAAAGAACCAAGAATAATAATTTTATTGTTTTATATTTTTATTATTTTATTGTTTCACCTTCTAACGTGGTGGTGACTTTACCGGAAGAACCAAGAATAATAATTTTATTGTTTTATATTTTTATTATTTTATTGTTTCCCTTCTACGTGGTGACTTTACCTAAAGAACCAAGAATATAAATTTTATTGCTTTATATTTTTATTATTTTATTGTTTCCCCTTCTAACGTGGTGGTGACTTTACCCAAAGTACCAAGAATAATAATTTTATTGTTTTATATTTTTATTATTTTATTGTTTCCCCTTCTAACGTGGTGGTGACTTTACCGAAAGAACCAAGAATATAAATTTTATTGTTTTATATTTTTATTATTTTATTGTTTCCCTTCTACGTGGTGACTTTACCTAAAGAACAAAGAATATGGACTTGAATTGGTAATGAGACAACACAGACACACGGGGTGGGCGAGTGAAAAATCATAGCAGTTAGAACTTGACGCGGTTTATCACATCCTTCCAATGATACAACAACAACATTTACATTGACGCGGTGATACAACAACAACAACGTATATAGACGCGATGAAACAACAATTATATTGATGCGATCGAACCCAGACAACAGTGACCTCCCATCGCGGCTGATCTGGAGGGGCGATGGGAGGATGAGGAATTGGCTGTGTGGGGAATGGGGGGTGAGCTTCCAGGAAGGGGGGGGGGGGGGGTCAGGATATAAACGTGTAGTGTATAGTAGTGTGTAGTGTATAGTGTAGTAGTGTTGTGTAGTAGTGTAGTGTATAGTAGTGTAGTGGTGTGTAGTGTATAGTAGTGTAGTAGTGTATAGTAGTGTTGTGTGAGTAGTCTATGGGTCTCTTGTGTGAGTAGTCTATGGGTCTCTGTGCAAGTCTCTGTGTGAGTAGTCTATGGGTCTCTGTGTAAGTAGTCTATGGGTCTCTGTGCGAGTAGTCTACGGGTCTCTGTGCGAGTAGTCTATGGATCTCTGTATGTGAGTAGTCTACGGGTCTCTGTGCGAGTAGTCTATGGGTCTCTATGTGAGTAGTCTATGGGTCTCTGTGTGAGTAGTCATGGGTCTCTTGTGTGAGTAGTCTATGGATCTCTGAGAGTCTGTGTGAGTAGTCTACGGGTCTCTGTGTGAGTAGTCTATGAGTCTCTGTGTGAGTAGTCTATGGGTCTCTGTGTGAGTAGTCTATGGGTCTCTGTGCAAGTAGTCTGTGGGTCTCTGCGTGAGTAGTCTGAGTCTCTGTGTGAGTAGTCTATGGGTCTCTGTGTGTGAAGTGTCGAACGCCTGCTGGCAGGAGGTCACGGGGCAGACCCAGCAGGTGCCACGGGTCGACTGACTGAGATGACTGGCTGATGCACCACCTGTGCCCCCTACTGTGCCAACCTGCTGTGCTTTAGCCACCCGGCGCTCCGCTCGTTGTTGTGAGCGTCGCTCCTCCGCCCTCCGTTGTTGTTGGAGGGCAACTGCCTCCAACTGCCCAGTAGCGTCCTTCACGAGCCTCCTCCACAGAGGCCGATCTTGACACCGCTGGTACCGGTCATCGGCAAGTCCACTCAGCTCCACGTCCTCCTGTACCACGTCACTCCATCTCTTCTCTAGCCCGTACCGCGCCCGTTTAGCCCCCTTGATCCGGCCGAACAAAAGCTGTTTTGGCATGCGGTGGCTGGACATGCGGGCTACATGACCCAACCAACGCAGCGTTGCCTGCCGGAGGAGCTCACCGATGGGACTTTGTCCAGATCTTTTGAGGATTTGTGAGCTCCTCACACAATCCAGCCTGGTTAAACCCAGGATGGATCGTAGGAAGGCCAGCCTAAATGTTTCTAACCGGCAAAGATGTTCCATTAGGGGGGGTCCACGTTTTGCAAGTGTAGAGAAGGGAGGGAATGACTGTGGTCGAGAAGACCTGAAGCTTCGTGCTTGAGGTCTTCCAACCGATGAAAAGATATTGCCGCTCGGCTGATTCGGAGTGAAACCTCTGCTGTCAATCTGGAGCTGGTCATGAGCACACTGCCCAGGTATGGGAAACTCTCCACTCTCTCCACGACTGCCGAACTACGTGGTCAAAATAGATGTTAAATAATGTAGGATCCAGAGGACATCCCTGTCGCACCCCAAGGTGTACAGGGAATGGCTCTGACTCCCGGCCACGTAGTTTTACCCTGGCCCGCTCACCATCATGAAGGTCCTTAATGATCGTGAGCAGCGGGTAAGGGACTCCGAAAGCACGAAGAACAACCCAGAGCCCAGGCCTACTGATGGTATCATAGGCCTTGACCAGGTCAATAAAGTAGAGATGTAGGTCTTGCTGGAATTCCCTAACCCTCTGCTGTAGCAGACGGATAGAAAATGGCATCTGTGCAGGACCGCCCTTTCCTGAAACCACATTGGGGCTCCGCAAGCCTCTCCTCAGCGTGCCTGGCAAGGCGATGCTGAATAATCCTTGCCAGGACCTTTCCCGGCACACTGAGGAGTGAGATGCCCCTGTAGTTGTTACAGTTTGTGCGGTCCCCCTTATAGAGGGGGACCACCAGGGCATCCTTCCAATCCTGCAGAACCCATCCAGTGGTCCAGACTGTTGTTATGTCATGTAGGGCAGTCTGTGCACAAACGCCACCCTCCCTCAGACTCCGGATCGCCTTCAGTACTTCCTCAACAGATGGCAACTCAGCCAGCCACTCACAGGGGGTGACGTCTTCCAATATTTGAGGTACCGCAGCCTCAGCAGGGTCATCCCCGCTTTGTCCCACGATGTTTTCTAGGCCGAGGGATTTCCCCTCCCAAAAGACCTCAGAAATGCTCAGCAAATCTGCAAACCTGTTCCTGGGGGTCAGAGATTAGATAACCGTTTTTTCCCCTAATGATGGTAATAGGTGTGGCGCTGCAGGTTACTTTTTTGATGGAGTTAAATAGAGATTTGTGATCACGGGCCACTGAGGCAGACTCCATCTCCTCAGCAACCCGTGACCACCACCCATCCTTGCAGCGCCTCACGGCTCTCCAAACCTCTGAGCGAAGGCTGCGGTAAGCCTCCTCATTCTCTATGGGATGCTGTAGACGATGAGAGTGGGCCTGTCGCTTTTTCTCAGCCAGCCTGAACACCTCCTCTGTCTGGACCGCCTACCCAAAGCAGCCATTGCAGCTGCATTAAGCCACAGTACTAAACCTCGCCCATTTACCCTCGACATTAGGAGGAGCGGGGGACGATGCCAACCCCAGCCGCAAGCGATGATGCAATTCTCGCTTGCAACTTTCATCAGATAACTGAGACCAGGCCACCTTAGGTTGGAATGGGGTCCTGGGTGTACACCCACCACCGGAGTGGAAGAATGGCAGGTGCATCTTACAGATGACTAGTCGATGGTCAGAGGGCAGATCAGCTCCACGGTAGGTCCTGGTGTCAAGGACATGCGCTCGCATCCACTGGTCCGTCACTATGTAGTCCAGCAGATGTTCTTGCTTGGACCCGGCATGCATCCACGATGTTGTGTGGATGCGCCGATGCCGGAACAGCGTGTTGGTAATTACAAGCCCATGGGCTGCACAAAAATCTAGCAGCCTCCTACCGTTGTGATTGAGCTGATCTGGCCCATGCCCTCCAATCACTCCAGACCAGGTGCCAGCATCATGACCAACTCGGTCATTGAAGTCACCCAACAAGATGACTCTATCCCGCACACACTCCCACACACCCCACTACACCACCACCACCACCACACCACCACACTCCCACACACCACTACACCACCACTACACCCCCACACACCACTACACCACCACTACACCACACCCACTACACCTCCACACCCACTACACACCCACTACACCACCACCACACCCACTACACCACCACACCCACTACACCTCCACTACACCACACCCACTACACACCACACCCACTACACCACCACCACACCCACTACACCACCACACCCACTACACCTCCACTACACCACATCCACTACACCACCACACACCACTACACCCCCACACACCCCCACACACCCCACTACACCACCACCACACCACCACACTCCCACACACCACTACACCACCACTACACCACCACTACACACCACACCCACTACACCACCACCACACCCACTACACCACCACACCCACTACACCTCCACTACACCCCCACACACCACTACACCACCACTACACCACCACTACACCCCCACACACCACTACACCACCACTACACCACCACTACACCCCCACACACCACTACACCACCACTACACCCCCACACACCACCACACCCCCACCACTACACCCCCACACAGCACTACACCACACCACTACACCCCCACACACCACTACACCCCCACACACCACGACACCACCACTACACCCCCACACACCACTACACCCCCACACACCACTACACCCCCGCACACCACTACACCACCACTACACCACACCCACTACACACCACACCCACTACACACCCACTACACCACCACTACACCATCACACCCACTACACCCCCACTACACCACATCCACTACACCCCCACACACCACTACACCACCACCACTACACCATCCCCCCCCCCCCCACCGCTACTTCCCCGGCCCGTGCTTCCCCTCGTGCCGCCTCAGGGTGCCCAGCTGGGCGAACGCGCGGCCGCAGACCCCGCAGGCGAAGGGGCGCTCCCCCGTGTGCGTGCGGACGTGCGCCGGAAGGTTCCGCGGGTGGGCGAACGCGCGGCCGCAGACCCCGCAGGCGAAGGGGCGCTCCCCCGTGTGCGTGCGGGCGTGGTCGCGCATGTCGGGCCCACGGTCGGTGCCGTAGGGGCAGAGGTCGCAGCGGTGCCGAGGCGCCGAGCCGGGCTGCGTGCGGTGGCTGCGCCGCACGTGGTTGAGGAGGACGCTGCGGCAGAGGAAGCGGCGGTGGCAGTGCGGGCAGGGAACGGCGCGGACCTGGACGTAGGCGTCGGCTGGGTGGGAGGGAGGTGGGGGGTGGGGGGGGGGGGGTGGTGGGGTGGGGGGGTGGGGTGGGGTGGGGTGGGGGGAGGGGGGTGTGGGGGGGGTGGGGAGAGAGGGGAGAGGGGGGAGAGGTGGGAGAGGCGTGCTGGTGGGTACACTACACTGTACACTACACTATACACTACACTATACACTACTATACACTATACACTACACTACTATACACTACACTATACACTACACTACTACACTACACTATACACTACACTATACACTACTACACTATACACTACACTACTATACACTATACTACACTACTACACTATACACTACTATACACTACACCATACTATACACTACACTATACACTACACTACTATACACTACACTATACACTACTATACACTACACTATACACTACTACACACTACAATATACACTACACTATATACTACACTATACACTACTACACACTATACACTATTATACACTATACACTACACTATTACACACTACACTACTACACACTATACACTACACTACTACACACTATACACTACACTACTACACACTATACACTACACTACTACACACTATACACTACACTATTACACACTATACACTACACTATACACTAAACCAGTGGTTCTTAACCTTGTTGGAGGTACCGAACCCCACCAGTTTCATATGCGCATTCACCGAACCCCTCTTTAGTGAAAAATAAAATGTGATTTTTTTCAAATTCAAGACATAGATATGTTTTTTACTGGTACACAAAATGAGCCGTGCATGAACATTACCTTGTTCAAAGAATAAAACCAACACAATGCATAAACTCACAACAAATTACATACCTGGAAATCAATGTGACTTCTGCTGTTGCCTTTGAGAGATCAGTTCAGATATGCGTGGCTTCACCTTGGCAAGTGCCACTCTCATGTCATTTTCACAGCAAAGTCTGTTCCTTTTCTTCGTTTTTATGTCCAGCATCCTCGAAAAGGATTGCTCACAAAGATATGTTGTAACAAATGGTATAAAAAAAAATCCAGGGCTTTCTTAGCAATAACTGGATACTTGTTCATTTGTCGACACCAAAACGTTGAGAGCGTTGTTGTTCTGAAGAGTTGCTGTTGAACCTGGCTCTGCTGAATTTCAATGATTTCGTCGAGGAATTCATCATTGACATCTGCTGTTTCAACAGCAAACGTGAACGGCTGTCTCACCCATGCTGGATATGACTCTCTTGTAGGGAAATATCCGTCGAGAGACTTTGCAAGCTCATCTAAGTGCGTGGCAATTGTTTGCTTCAGTTCCGTGGATACAGAAATATCTCCGATTCCAGACACATCTTCGATCTTACTTGCACAGTCGTCCAGAAGCGGGAAGTTTGCGAAGTTATTGTTCTCTGTTCGTCGTTTCCATAACGGTAGCTTTTTTTGAAAAGCCTTCAGGTGTTCTTCCGCTTCCATGATATTGACTCCACCACCCTGCATCTGCTGATTGAGATGATTGAGAGCTGCGAATATATAAGCCATGTACGCTAAAATGAGAATGAACTCAGGATTTTTGAAGCAATCTGCATGGCAGTGTTGGTGCTCTTGCAAAAACAGGGCTAATTCCACACGCATGGCAAAAACACGATTCAGCACCTGTCCCCGGGATAACCACCGAATATTAGAATGGAGCAGAAGTACCTCAAATTCAGAGCCCATTTCTTTACACAGCTCACTGAAGATGCGGTGCCTCAGAGCACTTTTTCGCACATAGTTCACACATTCTACCACAGTTTTTAATACTTCTGCCATTTTTGGAGGTAAGGTTTTTGTTGCCAACGCATGCCTGTGCAGAATACAATGCGTCACAATGATGTGTGGTGCATTGGCCTTTACTAGTGCACCAAAACCAGACTTTCTTCCCAGCATGACTGGAGCTCCGTCCGTACAAACTGCAGAAACCATATCCCATGAAAGATTGTTGTCTCTGAAGAAGTCATCCACAAGCTTCTTCACATCGGCTGCCTTCGTTGTTGTTGTAAGAGGCTTACAAAATAAAAACTCTTCTTTTATCATGTCGTCTTTCACATAGCGTACAAAAACAGCAAGCTGGCTTAGATCAGAAACGTCTGTGGTTTCGTCGAGTTGAAGGCTGAATTTTGCCGGGCTTGAAATCAGATCCGCGACTACTTGAGCCAAGATGTCTTTACTCATGTCTTCTATTCTGTCACTGACGGTGTCATTTGAAAGGGGAATTTGGGATAATTTACCTTCGGCCGCTGTTCCGAGTATCAGATTCGCCATCTTTAATGCAGCTGGTTTCACAAGTGTTTCACCAATGGTGTGTGGCTTGCCCTGCTTTGCGATCAGGTAAGCAACTTCGTACGATGCTGTCAGGATCGGTTTGTTAACAGGTACAAATCCAAGAGCAGGCAGAGTGGCCCTTTCATCGAATCTGGCTCTCTTCACCCTGAATTCAGCAAGTGTTGTGTTCTTGTATTCCCCGTCTCCATGCAGCTTCAAGAAGTGTTCCTTTAGTTTTGCCGGTGCAAGACTAGAGTTGCTCAACTTGGCTTTGCAAATCATGCAGATAGGACGCTCACTCCCATCACGTTCCATGATACATGAGAATCCATGTTGTACATATTCGTCCGACCACTTTCTTCTTTTGCCCGACATAGTTAGTATGGATAAAATATTAAAGAAATCACACGACGTACGACAACAACAGTCACACGTTGACTACTGAGTACGCACTAAATTCCCCGCAGCGCTGATTGGCCAAGCAGTGTAGCATGATCATCTGCAGCCAGTGATGGCCAAGCGGGCCGTGTGTGTCATCACAAATTTACACAATAATTCAAGTGTGTCCGGACCTCCGTGGCGGGGGCTCTGCCGAACCCCTGAGATCGACTCACTGAACCCCTGGGGTTCGATCGAACCCAGGTTAAGAACCACTGCACTAAACTATACTATACACTACTATACACTACACTATACACTACACTATACACTACACTATACTATACACTAAACTATACTATACACTATACAATACACTATACTATACACTACACTATACACTACTATACACTACACTTTACACTACACTATACACTACACTACTACACACTATACACTACACTATTATACACTACACTACTACACACTACACTACTACACACTACACTATACACTACACTATACACTACACTACTATACACCACTATACACTACTATACACTACACTATACACTACACTACTATACACCACTATACACTACACTATACTACACTACTACACTACTGCACTATACACTACACTACCATACACTACACTATACACTACTATACACTACACTATACACTACACTATACACTATACTACACTATACACTACACTACTATACACTACACTATACACTACATTATACACTACACTACTATACACTACACTACTATACATTACACTATACACTACACTACTACACTATACACTACACTATACACTACATTATACACTACACTATACTATACACTACACTATACACTACACTACTATACACTACACTATACACTACACTACACACTACACTATAAACTACTACACTATACAACACTATACACTACACTATACACTACACTATACACCTGCAGCTCACCCGGTAAGTTGACCTCCATCTTCACCTTTTCCACCTCCTTGACCACCTCCTTGTCCACTTCCTCGTCCACCTCCTCGTCCACCTCTTCTGCGTCCACGTCGGAGTCCACCCTCGGATGGGAAACCTCTCCTCCTACACCCCCACGTCCACCACCACCTCCTCCTACACCCCCAATTACTCCACGTCCACCACCTCGTCCACCTCCTCCTCCACCCCCACGTCCACCACCTCCACCCCCACGTCCACCTCTGCAGTGAAGACCTCCCACGGGCATCGCGTTGCAGCTCAGGACGTCCTGCGGTTCCGTCTTGACGGCCAACAGCGTGAACGGTGGTGGTGGTGATGGTGGTGGTGGTTGTTGTGGTGGTGGTGGTGGTGAACTCCACGCATCGTCCACCTCCTCCACCTTCACGCCGGGCCACGTCTCAAAGCTGAGCGTCTCCGCAAGCCCACAGGGAGGTTGTTGATGTTGTTGATGCTGTTGATGCTGTTGATGTTGTTGATTTTGTTGATGTTGTTGCTGTCGCCGAAATCTCGATGGGAGGCCGATGGTGGGCGGCTGCTTGCCCCGGATGACCCCTGGCGCCTCCACGCCACTCCCACGGAGCTCCACGCCACTCCCCCGTGGCTCCACGCCACTCCCCCGTGGCTCCACGTCACTCACACGGAGCTCCACGCCACTCCCCAGGGGCTCCACGCCACTCCCACGGAGCTCCACGCCACTCCCACGGAGCTCCACGCCACTCCCCAGGGGCTCCATGCGGACACCCAGACTGCCGAGACACCGAGACAGTCAACGCGGCCTAGACCGCCGTGGTGGTGGTGGTGATGGTGGTGATGGTGGTGGTGGTGGTGGTGATGGTGGTGATGGTGGTGGTGATGTTGGTAGTCCGGCAAAAACAACCCCTTACCTCCTCGCGGTGCCGGACGGGCAACTCTGTCGTGGACAGTGCTGTGGGGGGAGGGCCAATTCCGATTGGCTCCTCCCCTCATGGCGTCTGTGTCCACCACAGGGGCTAAACGGGAGCTCTGGACGGGTGCGCGGGGCTGGTAACCACTCCACCTTCAATTAATTACCACTAAACCACGACTGAAATATGTAACTAATAAGCTTGTGCCGGAGGCCCTGGGGGGACAGGCGTCTATGACGTCTCCTGGCCAAACCCCAATTGGCGGAGCCAGGAGATTGAATATCTACCCTCGGGGCTCCTCCAGAAACAACGAAAAGCCACTTCGTGTGGCCATGTGAAATGTTTGAATGCTCACTACGGAGGAGAGGCTGCCACTCCTCTGTCGGGAGCTGGACCGGTACCGCTTGGATCTCTGTGGCATTCAGGAGGTCCGGTGGACCGGTTCTGACTCCTGTCACCATGAGGGGTGGACAGTCCTCTACTCGGGGCAGCAGACTGCCAAACAACAGGGTGTGGCTCTTCTTATGAACAAAAGAAGGAAGGGGGTGTGGGAGCATGGCGGTGAGGTGTGGGAAGCTGTAAGCCCCAGGCTACTTTGGGCTCGCCTTCCCATCAACCGGAGGCGAGGAGTGGTGATCGTGGTTACTTATGCCCCCACCGAAGACGAACATCCGTGGAGGGATGCAGGCAAAGCCGACGAGTCAGATGCCTTCTATGACCTCCTGTCACAGGTGCTGGCTAAAGTAGCCCCTCGGGATAGAATCATCTTGTTGGGTGACTTCAATGCCCGAGTTGGTCATGATGCTGGCACCTGGTCTGGAGTGATTGGAGGGCATGGGCCAGATCAGCTCAATCACAACGGCAGGAGGCTGCTAGATTTTTGTGCAGCCCATGGGCTTGTAATTACCAACACGCTGTTCCGGCATCGGCGCATCCACACAACATCATGGATGCATGCCGGGTCCAAGCAAGAACATCTGCTGGACTACATAGTGACGGACCAGCGGATGCGGGCCCATGTCCTTCACACCAGGACCTACCGTGGAGCTGATCTGACCATCGACTAGTCATCTGTAAGATGCGCCTGCCATTCTTCTGCTCCGGTGGTGGGTGTACACCCGGGACCCCATTCCACCCTAAGGTGGCCTGGTCTCAGTTATCTGATGAAAGTTGCAAGCGAGAATTTCATCATCAATTGCGGCTGGGGTTGGCATCGTCCCCGACTTCTGATGTCGGGGGTAAATGGGCGAGGTTTAGGACTGTGACTCATGCAGCTGCAATGGCTGCTTTGGGTACACGGTCCAGACCTCCCCAGAGACCCTGGCTGACAGAGGAGGTGTTCCGGATAGTTGAGAAAAAGCGACAGGTCCACTGTCATCGGCTACAGAATCCCACGTCAGAGAATGAGGAAGCTTACCGCAGCCTTCGCTCGGAGGTTCGGAGAGCCGTGAGGCGCTGCAAGGATGGGTGGTGGTCGTGGGTTGCTGAAGAGATGGAGTCTGCCTCAGTGGCCCGTGATCACAAATCTCTATTTAACTCCATCAAAAAAGTAACCTGCAGCCACACCTATTACCATCATTAGGGGAAAAAACGGTGATCCAATCTCCGACCCCCAGGAACAGGTTTGCAGTGAGGATGACCCTGCTGAGGCTGCGGTGCCTCAAATATTGGAAGAAGTCACCCCCTGCGAGTGGCTGGCTGAGGTGCCATCTGTTGAGGAAGTACTGAAGGCGATCCGGAGTCTGAGACCAGGAAAGGCAGCGGGTAGAGATGATCTCCCAAGCGAAATGCTGAGGAAGGGTGGCGTTTGTGCACAGACTGCCCTATATGACGTCATAACAACAGTCTGGACCACTGGACGGGTTCCGCAGGATTGGAAGGATGCCCTGGTGGTCCCCCTCTTTAAGAAGGGGGACCGCACAGACTGTAACAACTACAGGGGCATCTCACTCCTCAGTGTGCCGGGAAAGGTCCTGGCAAGGATTATTCAACATCGCCTTGCCAGGCACGCTGAGGAGAGGCTTGCGGAGCCCCAATGCGGTTTCAGGAAAGGGCGGTCCTGCACAGATTCCATATTTTCTGTCCGTCTGATGGTGGTGATGTTGATGATGTTGATGGTAGTAATGGTGATGGTGGTGATGATGTTGATGGTGGTGATGGTGGTGATGTTGATGGTAGTGATGATGGTGGTGATGTTGGTGATGTCGATGATGGTGATGTTGATGATGGTGATGATGGTAGTGATGGTAGTGGTGATGATGGTAGTGATGGTGATGATGGTAGTGATGGTAGTGGTGATAATGGTAGTGGTGATGATGGTAGTGATGTTGATCATGGTAGTGATGGTGATGATGGTAGTGATGGTGATGTTGATGATGGTGATGATGATAGTGATGGTAGTGGTGATGATGGTAGTGATGGTGATGATGGTAGTGATGGTGATGATGGTAGTGATGGTAGTGATAGTGATGTTGATGATGGTGATGATGGTAGTGGTGATGATGGTAGTGATGTTGTTGGTGATGTTGATGATGGTAGTGGTGGTGATGGTAGTGAAGGTGATGATGGTAGTGATGTTGATGATGGTGATGTTGATCATGGTAGTGATGGTAGTGGTGATGATGGTAGTGATGGTAATGATGGTAGTGATGGTGATGGTAGAGATGGTGATGATGGTAGTGGTAGTAATGATGGTGATGTAGATGTTGGTGATGGTAGTGATGTTGTTGATGGTGATGTTGATGATGGTGATGTTGATGATGGTGATGTTGTTGATGAGGATGTTGATGATGTTGATGAGGATGGTGATGATGATGATGGTGGTGATGATGTTGGTGATGATGTTGTTGGTGATGATGGTGATGTTGATGGCGATGATGATGGTGATGTTGATGAGGATGTTGGTGATGTTGATGAGGATGATGGTGATGGTGATGTTGTTGATGAGGATGGTGATGATGGTAGTGATGATGTTGGTGATGATGTTGTTGGTGATGATGGTGATGTTGATGGCGATGATGATGGTGATGTTGGTGGTGATGATGATGATATTGATGAGGATGGTGATGATGTTGATGATGATGGTAGTGATGATGATGTTGATGGTGATGTTGATGAGGATGTTGATGATGGTGATGTTGTTGATGAGGATGTTGATGAGGATGTTGATGATGGTGGTGATGGTGTTGGTGTTGTTGGTGATGTTGATGATGGTGATGGTGATGTTGTTGATGAGGATGGTGATGATGGTAGTGATGATGTTGTTGGTGATGGTGATGTTGATGTTGGTGATGATGATGATATTGATGATGATGGTGATGTTGGTGATGATGATGATGTTATTGATGAGGATGGTGATGATGTTGATGATGATGGTAGTGATGATGATGTTGATGATGATGATATTGATGAGGATGGTGATGATGTTGATGATGATGGTAGTGATGATGATGTTGATGTTGTTGGTGATGATGGTGATGTTGATGTTGGTGATGATGATGATATTGATGAGGATGGTGATGATGGTGATGATGATGGTAGTGATGATGATGTTGATGTTGTTGGTGATGATGGTGATGTTGATGTTGGTGATGATGATGATATTGATGAGGATGGTGATGATGTTGATGATGATGGTAGTGATGATGATGTTGATGTTGTTGGTGATGATGGTGATGTTGATGTTGGTGATGATGATGATATTGATGAGGATGGTGATGATGTTGATGATGATGTTGGTGATGATGATGATGTTGATGAGGATGGTGATGATGTTGATGATGATGGTAGTGATGATGATGTTGATGTTGGTGATGATGATGATATTGATGAGGATGGTGATGATGTTGATGATGATGGTAGTGATGATGATGTTGATGTTGTTGGTGATGATGGTGATGTTGATGTTGGTGATGATGATGATATTGATGAGGATGGTGATGATGTTGATGATGATGTTGGTGATGATGATGATGTTGATGAGGATGGTGATGATGTTGATGATGATGGTAGTGATGATGATGTTGATGTTGGTGATGATGATGATATTGATGAGGATGGTGATGATGTTGATGATGATGGTAGTGATGATGATGTTGATGTTGGTGATGATGATGATATTGATGAGGATGGTGATGATGTTGATGATGATGGTAGTGATGATGATGTTGATGGTGATGGTGATGTTGAGGAGCGATCTGCAGCGCCACTCACCGCGAACACGGGCCGCCGTGTGACGTCACCCACGGGTGGGAGGGTGCGTGGTGACGTCAACGACGTGTTGGGAGTGTGTGTGGTGACGTCACCGACGGGTTGGAAGGTTGCGTGGTGACGTCGACGGGGGCTGGAGGGTGCGTGATGACGTCGCCGACGGGGTGGGAGAGTGCGTGCGGACGTCGCCGACGGGGAGGGAGAGTGCGTGGTGACGTCACCGACAGGGTGGGAGGCTGCGTGGTGACGTCACCGACAGGGTGGGAGGGTGCGTGGTGACAGTCGACGGAGTGAGAGGTGCGTGATGACGTCACCGACGGGGTGGGAGGGCGCGTGGTGACGTCACAGACGGGTTGGGAGGTGCGTGGTGACGTCACCGACGGGGTGGGAGGTGCGTGATGACGTCACCGACGGGGGTGGGAGGGTGTGTGGAGACGTCAGAAACGAGGTGAGATTGTGCGTGGTAACATCACCGATGGAGGGTTCGTCGTAGTGACGTCACGGGGTAGGAGGGCGTGTAGTGACGTCACCGGAGGGGAAGAGTGTGGACGTGATGGCGAGCGCGTGACGTCACCGCGGGGAGGGTGCGTAGTGACGTCAACTACACAACAACAAACTACACAACAACAAACTACACAACAACAAACTACACAACAACAAACTACACAACAACAACCTACACAACAAACAACACAACACTCGCACTACAACAACCGCCACTAAGTGGCGGTGACGTCACCACGACGCTTGTGCCAGGCTATGTGCACCTTGAGGCCACGTGAAGTGTCGAACGCCCGCTGGCAGGAGGTCACGGGGCAGACCCAGCAGGTGCCACGGGTCGACTGACTGAGATGACTGGCTGATGCACCACCTGTGCCCCCTACTGTGCCAACCTGCTGTGCTTTAGCCACCCGGCGCTCCGCTCGTTGTTCTGAGCGTCGCTCCTCCGCCCTCCGTTGTTGTTGGAGGGCGACTGCCTCCAACTGCCCAGTAGCGTCCTTCACGAGCCTCCTCCACAGAGGCCGATCTTGACACCGCTGGTACCGGTTATCGGCAAGTCCACTCAGCTCCACGTCCTCCTGTACCACGTCACTCCATCTCTTCTCTAGCCCGTGCCGCGCCCGCTTAGCCCCCTCGATCTGGCCGAACAAAAGCTGTTTCGGCATGCGGTGGCTGGGCATGCGGGCTACATGACCCAGCCATCACAGCCTTGCCTGCCGGAGGAGCTCACCGATAGGACCTTGCCCAGATCTTTCGAGGATTTGTGAGCTCCTCACGCAATCCAGCCTGGTTCAACCCAAAATGGATCGTAGGCAGGCCAGCCTAAATGTTTCTAACCGGTGAAGATGTTCCATTAGGGGGGTCCACTTGTCGCAAGCGTAGAGAAGGGAGGGAATGACCATGGCCGAGAAGACCTGAAGCTTAGTGCGGGGTGACAGACCAGGTAGCTTCCACACAGCGTTACGCAACCAATGAAAATATATTGCCGCTCGACTGATTCGGATTGAGACCTCTGCTGTTAAACTGGAGCCGGTCATAAGCACACTGCCCAGGTATGGGAAACTCTCCACTCTCTCCACAACTGCCCCATCACCGATTGGGAGTTGTGGGGGTGGAGTGTCCGATGGTACAAAATACACAGGCAGGTGCTTAGTTTTGGTGGGGCTGATGGTAAGGCCCCACCTCTTAGTGGCACGCTCCAGTCTCAGCAGCAGCGTCTCCAACTCCTCCTCTGAATGAGCAGCTATTACCAAATCATCGGCATACATAACGTGGTTGAGCAATAGGGAGCTATCCCTTGCCCGCACCCGGGCATCGATCAGCCTCCCATTATATCTGTACCAAATGGAGATTCCCCCGGTACAGCTATTGAAGGCTTCACGAACTACGTGGTCAAAACAGATGTTAAATAATGTGGGAGCCAGAGGACATCCCTGTCGCACCCCAAGGTGTACAGGGAATGGCTCCGACTCCCGGTCACGTACTTTTACCCGGGCCCGCTCACCATCATGAAGGTCCTTAATGATCGTGAGCAGAGGGTCAGGTACTCAAAAAGCACGAAGAACAACCCAGAGCCCAGGCCTACTGATGGTATCATAGGCCTTGACCAGGTCAATAAAGCAGAGATGTAGGTCTTGTTGGAATTTCCTATACCTCTGCTGTAGCAGACGGACAGAAAATATGGCATCTGTGCAGGACCGCCCTTTCCTGAAACCGCATTGGGGCTCCGCAAGCCTCTCCTTAGCGTGCCTGGCAAGGCGATGTTGAATAATCCTTACCAGGACCCTTCCCGGCACACTGAGGAGTGAGATGCCCCTGTAGTTGTTACAGTCTGTGCGGTCCCCCTTCTTAAAAAAAGGGGGACCACCAGGGCATCCTTCCAATCCTGCGGAACCCGTCCAGTGGTCCAGACTGTTGTTATGATGTCATATAGGGCAGTCTGTGCACAAACGCCACCCTCAGCATTTCGCTTGGGAGATCATCTCTGCCTGCTGCCTTTCCTGGTCTCAGACTCCGGATCGCCTTCAGTACTTCCTCAACAGATGGCACCTCAGCCAGCCACTCACAGGGGGTGACTTCTTCCAATATTTGAGGCACCGCAGCCTCAGCAGGGCCATCCCCACTTTGTGCCACGATCTTTTCCTGGCTGAGGGATTTTCCCTCCCCCAGGACCTCACAGAAATGCTCAGCAAATCTGCAAACCTGTTCCTGGGGGTCGGAGATTGGATCACCGTTTTTTCCCCGTAATGATGGTAATAGGCGTGGCGCTGCAGGTTACTTTTTTAATGGAGTTAAATAGGGATTTGTGATTACAAATTCCTAATTAACACACCTACCCACACACTCACCCACCCACACAATCATCCACACACCCACCCACACACACATTCACCCACACACCCACCCACACACACACTCACCCACACACACACACTCACCCACACACACACACTCACCCACACACACACACTCACCCACCTACACACTCACCCACACACTCACCCACCCACACCCACCCACACACCCACACACCCACCCACACACCCACACACCCACCCACACACACACACCCACACACCCACCCACCCACTCACACACCCATCCACCCACTCACTCACCCACACACTCACCCACTCACACACTCACCCACACACTCACCCACCCACTCACCCACACACCCACCCACTCACTCACCCACACACCCACCCACTCACTCACCCACCCACCCACACACTGCCGAGGCAAAAATTTCTTTCAATCAATAAAAAAAAGAACCCCATCAATGTATTATTGTCCCCCCCCCTGCCTCAGGAGCCCCTCCCCCACCACCCCCGCTCCAGTGTTCCCAGGTCGCTCCGTGTGAGCCGTCCTCTCACCACCACCACCACCAGCGGCGGCAGCTCCCTCCCCAGAAGCCCCCCCTAGCGGTAACGAAGCTTCACGGCTTCCTGCGGCCGGGGACTTGGGCGACCTCCACCCGAGGCTGGAGCGCAACCACGGCAACAGTGAGCCGAGTGGCGGTCACGTGGTCACCGCGGGTGGGAAGCATCCACACTCGACGACGCGGGGTCAGCGGGTGGGTAGGTGGGGGGCGGAGTAGCGAGGGGGGGGGTCCCCGGGGCAGAGCCACGCGGCGGCCTCGCCCCTCCGCGACCTCCTACGCCTCTCCTACACCTCCCCTACCTCCCTACACCTCCTACACCTCTCCTACGCCTCTCCTACGCCTCCCCTACACCTCCCCTACACCTCCTACACCTCCCCTACGCCTCCCACGCCTCTCCTATGCCTCTCCCACGCCTCTCCTACACCTCTCCCACGCCTCCTACGCCTCTCCTATGCCTCTCCTACGCCTCCCCTACGCCTCTCCTACGCCTCCTACACCTCCTACGCCTCCCCTACACCTCCCCTACGCCTCTCCTACGCCTCCCACGCCTCTCCTACGCCTCCTATGCCTCCCCTACGCCTCTCCTACACCTCCTACGCCTCCCCTACGCCTCTCCTACACCTCCTACACCTCCCCTACGCCTCCCACACCTCCCCTACGCCTCTCCTACACCTCCTACGCCTCCCCTACGCCTCTCCTACACCTCCTACACCTCTCCTACGCCTCCCCTACGCCTCCCCTACACCTCTCCTACGCCTCCCCTACGCCTCCCACACCTCCCCTACGCCTCTCCTACACCTCCCCTACACCTCTCCTACACCTCTCCTACGCCTCTCCTACGCCTCCCCTACGCCTCGAGAGCGGATCGTTGCGTACGGGGTGGAGAGAGGCGCGGTGGTGGTGGTGGGGGGGGTGGGGAGATATCCGTTAAGGAGAGCGAGCAGGGAGGGTCCCGCTGACCCCGCACCGACCCGGGTAGATTCGAACCGTCGGGCGAAGCGTGGGGGAACGCATCGCCGGCGAGAGGGGGGGCACATCAGCGGCGCATTCGCGAGGAGGTCAGTGCGGCCGTTGTTGTTGTCGTCGTGCCACGAGGGGCCTGGCTTAGCGGTGGGTCGCAGGTGAACGGGGAGAGGCGGTGACGGTGGTGGTGGTGGGGGTGGTGGAGGTGGCGGGGGTGGTGGCGGTCTCACCAGGCGCTGATCATTTCTGAACCTGACTACGGCTGCCCCGTGTCGCCATCGAAACGGCGCCACGGGCTTTTTGTTTTAAATTTTTCTAACTGCCGGTTGGTTGGTGGCTTCAATTTCGATTGAAAGCCGTCGCGACCGCAGCGATTCACGTCCGTTGGTTCTTTGGGTAAAGTCACCACCACGTTAGAAGGGAAACAATAAAGTAATAAAGTACATATATATAAAACAATACAATTCTTACGAGAGTTTCGACTGCAGCAACACAAGAAGCAATCATCATCAGGTGTGACAACCACCACGTTAGAAGGGAAACAATAAAATAATAAAAATATAAAACAATAAATTCTCACGATGTTTAGACCGCAACACAAGCAATCATCATCAGGTGTGAAAACCACCACGTAGAAGGGAAACAATAAAATAATAAAATATAAAACAATAAAATTCTCACGACGTTTTGACTGCAGCAACACAAGCAGCCATCATCAGGTGT